TGTTTTCAACATGACAATGAATTTTTTCAACTTTGCATTGACATGAACATAAATTTCAACAACTGCTTTTCCTTTCTTTTTTTTTGATCATTAATAATTTTATCCACGAAAACACTTAACAATCATTTCTGAGAATTTGACTTTTGATTTTATAAAAAAGGAAAACAGCTTTGTTTTTTTCAGAACACGATTGACATATTAAATCTTGTAATATACCTCGGTAAAAATCGCCGCAGGTAACGATGTGCTTCCACTTCGTTGGGCACATTCAAATTTAACCCATTGATATTCGCCAAATGGTTAAGAACCACTCGATGAAACCGGTTCCAATTCGTAAGAAATCGGAATCTGAAAGCCAGATAACAACCTATATGTATAACGATAGAATACAATTCCCGGTCACGATGAGATTGAACAAGGACGCAGAATTTCAAGTGCGTAGCATCAAGATTTTACGAGAACATTTTAAAGACCGGTGAATCTATGAAAAAGACTCACATCCGCACTGACTCTGCTCGTTTCAGCATTGGAGAACGTCATACGATATCGCGTACAAGCATCCATGATACCGGCTTTCTCTTTATTAATTTGCGAAAGTGTCTGAATATATTATCGGTGGACTATCATTTTTTCAATTGTCAAAAATGAAATTTGAGGATCATTTTGTGATTTGGTGAATTTTTTTGGTGAAATTTGTAATAAATTAATGGATAGAAGAATGGAAGTTCAAATTTTGATATGAATATAACAGAAGGAAAGCATTTAAAATAATATATTTTATAAATAAAAAAATGAGAAATAATCAATAAAAGAAAATTGATTTCATATTTGATTGTTATCTGTTGAAATCTTATTTTGACTGAAAGAAAGAACTGACAGAAGAAATTGACAACAACGAAGAAACAATTGAAAAAATTCGAACAATAAGTGAAATATGTTCAATGTGAAAAAAAGAATAACTTTATCAATTTATGAATAATTATTATTCTATATAAAAATAAGAAGATTGTTATTTTTTAAAAATTAAAAATACGCCTAAATAATTTTATAAAATAAAATATATAAGAAAAAAAGATTTAAAAAAATATAAAAATAAAGTATAAATAAAAATTAAACAATAAGTTTCTCTTTTTTTCTTTTAAATATTTAATTTCCAAAATAATAAAAAATTTCAATAAAATCTTTTTGTCATTATATTTCTACTTTGTAATATATTTTCTTAATGTTATTTATTTATATTCCATATTTATATTCCTTTTTTAACATTTTAATATTTAACATTTTATTATTTATTACCTTCTATAGTCTTAACGCAATATAAATATATATAGATTATTAAAAAATCGATAATTATTCATATTGTTATATATATATGATGATGATAATGATGATGATGATAATGATAGTAAACAATTCTAAGTAATAATATCACTAATAATTACATATAATTACACTGTTGCATAATTTGATATTATCGATAATTGTACATCAGTATCATTGTAAAATAATTAATTATTAATACAATATAATTTATAATTATTTTCTTCCTTTTCTTAAAAATAAGTTGAACTATCTAAAAATTTAAAATAAATTATCATACATTAAACTTTAAAGGAACAAGAAGAAACTCGAAGAAAGTTCTGTCAAGAATTATAAATTAATCAATCGTTGAAAATCGAGGAGAGATAGAAAAAAAAAAATGAAAAAAAAAATTATTTGTTTAAAAATTTGAGCAAGGGAAAGTTTGTTTATTGCAACGGTTGGTCTGCCTCGATGTGACTCCCATCTCATTTAAGTTTTAAGTTCAAGGTCCCTGTTCGAAGGAGTACTGGCTTCTCCAACGGAAGCATGTCTTTTCCTCTGAACTTATATATAGAATGTATCCATACGAGTCGGCTAATATAAGTCACTCGGGCGAGTGACACCGGTAGTCGCGTGTGCTGCAATGACGAGAGCATTCTCTTAAAGTGATCTAAATGACTTTGGGACGTGACGTGATAAACGAAGAAAAGAGTGAGGCCGAGGTATGACGATTGGAACGTTCTTTCGAGGTGATCCACGATAGTAGAGAGTGTTACGTCGCAGTTTCTTCATCATTCTTGATCACGACGACGAATTTCTTGGACAGATAATGGACGATAAACAGATATACGAGAACTCCACCGACATACCGAAGGCTAGCTTGCAACTTCCGACAATTACGGTTGGCAACGAAAGACCGCGGCGTTACTCGTTAACCAGTTTAAAAGATCATCGTCTCCCGTTTGAAAACGAAAACGATTGCGGGAGAACGATAGAAGGAGAAGTTGAAGCACATGAAAATGTCGACAAAACGTGGCAATTGAAAATGAAGCCACTCGCCAATCATGAGAAAAGAACCAGACATTATTCTCTGACTAGATCAAAAAATCGTCGTTCTTGTCTGTATACGGACGAAGACAGAAATTTCTTAACGAAGACGGTTGTGAACGAGACTGTCAACGATAAAACGACGCAAACGTTAAGAGTACCATTGACTCGTGAAGGAAGAACGATACACTGTTCGTTGTCGAATCTCAACGATCCGTCGAACGATCTTCTGTCCACCAGATTGACTTCTACTTTTAGATCCGTCAGATATCGACAATCGAGTAATTCGGAGAAGATCGTGATCGATGATATTCCTCTGGCAGATGCCTCGAACGATCACGTGGAAATCGACGCCGGTACACCTCCACCGGTTGACGAATCTCTCTTCTACGATAATCTCGATGTATTCAGACAATCGCAGATCAACAGCAACGATCTTAGATCGATCATGTGGTCAATCGTCACTACGGCTGAAATGAAAATATTACTTCAGCTAGAAAAGTGTAACGCGTTACCAGAGATACCGGCAGGAGAACGAATAAGAAATATAGCGTACATGTGGTGTTGTTATCGCAATTTGGCGCATCTATTACCAAAATTGGAACAATCAGGCGTGAAATTAGATTACGTGGAGCCTAGCACGGGCATGAACGCGATCCTAGCTGCATCGTTAAGTGGTAGCGTGGCTTGCATCGAGCATCTGATGAAAAGAGGCGTCGATATCAATTACCGGAATCCGATCAATCATTATACGCCTCTTCACTTCGCTATCTTAGGAAATTCGCCTGATACAGCGCGGATACTGCTCGATAACGGTGCAAAGCCGAGCACGTATCTTTACCAGGAGGTGGCCGAACCAGTTTTGCATTGCGCTATCAGAGCAGGGGCTGTGGAAATAGTAAAATTATTATTGGAACGAGGAGCAAGCATCGTCGAGAAAAACCATATGGGCGAGACACCGCTCCACGTAGCTTGTTTCGTTCAATCAATAAAATGCGTTGAATTACTTCTAGATTCGCCCGGTACCAATGTCAACGCGGTGGATCGGGCACATAGAACTCCTCTTCATTTTGCCGTGATGACCACTTATTCCTCCGCGAAGCTCGTAGAACTTTTGTTAAAACACGGTGCCTTGGTGAATGCAGCGGACAAAACCGGCTTCACTCCTCTTCATGTGGCGGCATTAAACGAACAATCTCATTGTGTGGATGTATTAATTTGGGCCGGTGCAGACGTCAGTGCGACCACCAGCGCGGGTCTTTCCGCTTTGAACATTATCCTCAGAAAGATACCAGATTCTCTTCAAGTATTTCGACAAAGATTAGACGCCTCGATAACGCTCAGAAGACCCGTGCCTCACAATAGAGAGTTTGAGATGAGATTGCACTTCGATTTACTCTTTCCCAGTGGGAATCAATGCGAGACCAGTTTCATCAACACTTTCGTTCAGGAACGGCGTAAAGATTTGCTGTCCCATCCGTTGGTAATGGCTTTCCTGCATTTGAAATGGGAGAAGATTAGAAAATTCTATTTACTCAGAATTCTAGTTTACGCTATGACCGTGATCTGTATGACCACGTACGTACTCACCGCGCTAGCTTACAAATGTTACAATCACGACGAGGCGAACAGCTCGAAGATTTGCAGCAGCAAACGTATCTCTGGATTCTTATTCAGGCGACCGGTGATCGAAATTCAATGGTATCTTTTATTAATATTCACTTGTATCTCTATTCCCAGGAAGATATTCGGTTTCATGGTATACACGTCCGCGAAGCAATACTTCTCGAATATCGACAATGTGTTGGACGGTGTTGTTATAATCAGCGTTTTCGTCACGTCATTCGTGTACACGGGACGCACATACGATTGGCAAAATTACGTCGGAGCATTTGCGATACTGTGCGCTTGGACAAACTTGATGCTGATGGTTGGTCAGCTACCGGCTTTTGGCACGTACGTGGCGATGTTCACTCACATACAATTCGAATTTGCTAAGCTACTGCTTGCTTATTCTGGATTGCTGATAGGCTTCACTATCAGCTTTTGCGTCATTTTCGTCGGAGAACCGTCCTTCGGTAATCCTTTCACGGGACTCATCAAAGTATTAGCAATGATGGCTGGAGAATTGGACTTTGAAGGGCTTATCACGCAAATCGATCAAGGATTAGAATCCGATGGACCTTTTGTTATTTATCATCCGTTATCGGTGTGCTCTCAGATCCTCTTCACTCTGTTCATCGTATTTGTCACGGTTATATTGATGAATTTGCTAGTTGGAATAGCTGTTCACGACATTCAAGGTTTAAGAAATCATGCTGGTCTCACGAAACTTGTACGTCAAACAAAATTGATTCTATTCACGGAAATGGTCTTGCACAACAGTTCGATTCCGTACGCTTTTCGAAAATGGATGTCCGATCATAAGATTAACGTGGAGAATAGAAGGAGAGTCTTAGTGGTGAAACCGTTGAATCCTTTGGAGAAAAGACTACCCAAAGATATTCTAAAGGCTGCTTATGAAATAGCACAGAAAAATATACCGTTCATGAACGACGAAAACATTAATTTGAGCGATCACGTAATAAGAATGAGACAACATAGCGAGGAATATTTTGACTCGAATTTGCAATTGGTTATTGAGAATTTAGCAAACAAACTACAATCTTACGAAGATATGATCAAGTCGTTGAAAGAACAATTGTTAGATACTAATAAAATGCTAGAGAGTGTTGTGAAAAGTCTGGCAAAAGAAAAGAATAACTGAGCTCAATTAGATACTTGATTGATTGAAATTACAAAATAGTTTGTTAATTGAGAATCGAGGAAACTTAATTGTAGTTAGTTAATAATGTGCACGTGAACGATTGCAAATAATCGAAACTACATCTTAATATTTAATAAATCAATTAAAATCCGATAAAATCGATTGATTTAACTTTCTATATAAATATCATTTTAAGCATTGTAACGAGTGACTTATGGGAAAAGGGTGGCGGAACCTGAAGTGAAAGTGAACGTAGAAAAAAAAATATACATGTTTAATAACGATGGCATTAAGACTAATGGTACTAACTTTTGCTTTTTTTTTTATACTTTTTAGATTAGTCTCTTTCGTCATAAAAATTTTTCACGTCTTTGAATATTTATGATTTATTTTTATGATTGTTACTACTATAATAAAAAAATAATTTATACATATATAATATAAAAAAATGTTCGTATTTAATAAGTATTTAATAATTAGAAAATTTAGAAATTGATATTTCGATGTTGTTCAATTTCTTAAAGCACAAATATTTACACTTCATTATGATTATTTTTAAGAAAGGAAAAAAATGAATACGTTTTCTTAATAAACATTTTATTATAAAAAATATTTAATTAATTAAATTAATCTCTTTTTATTTCTTTTTTACAAATTCTTAAGAGAGAACAAGATTATTATAATATGTTCTCAACTAAAAATTTGATAGCAGTAAATATTATTCGTTTAAGCGTTACATATACGTTTTAAACAAGCGCTTAAATTTTGTTATATTTTTTAAGGAAATATTAATTATTTTTAACTGAATTTATTTTAAATTACAGGTTATATTTCCATTAATTTTTACGAATATGTATGACAAAGTTGATATTGAAGCAAATGTTACTGGTGGAGGGTTTTCTGGACAAGCTGGTGTTATACGATTAGGTATTTCATTAGGGCTTCGAAGCTTTGTCGATAATGACATGATAGAAAGAATGAAACTTGGTAAGAAAAATATTGTTTTTTTAATTATTCATTTCTTATAATTAAATTTAATTTTGAAATACAAAAATAATTGATTAACATTAATCATTGATATGATTAATATATCATTAATCATTATAAATGTAAAATCTATATTTTTTTAAATATTTTATGAAAAATAGCGTTCAATTTTTTTCAAATCATATTTATTACTTTTTTTCTATGAAGAAAATATTATTTTGATATTATTTTGATATTAATTGAAATTAATTGATTTCTATATATAACTTATCAATATTATTATATTCGATAAAAAAATAATGTATAGTTAAATTATTAAATAAAAAATTCATTTTCCCAAAATACAAGTAGCATTTTAATTATATTTTAAAACATAAGTTTATAGTAAAAACTATTGTTCAATTATAATTGCACGCCTTTATTAAAGTCATAATTCTTACATTTATAATGATAATCAATTATTAAATTTATTTATTATCAATATTTTATAATTATTTAATTAAATCAAAAAATATATAATTAAATTGTTAAGTTCAATATATGTATCATATGTATCAGAATATATGTATATATTCTTTATATAAATTATATTCTGAAATATAAAGAATAAATGTATTTATATTATACTTGTTATATAAATTATATAACAAATATATATATATATATATA